GGGGACCCGGAGGCCGAGGAGGGTGGGGAGGAGTGAGGCCGCCCGGGGTCTGTGGGCCTGGAGCCTCGTGGAAGTCTGGACACTCGCGAAAGGAGGGCCCTGGTGTTTGGGCAGCGTCTCCGCCTCCCTCAGGGTCCGTCTTCGACACCTACTCCCCAAGGGGTGACCCCCAGGACCCAGACTCATCCCCAGACCCACCCATAACATCCAGGGCCGGATACTCACAAACAAAGAGCTCACAATCGAGGCGGACGCCCTGACGTCCACACCCCAGCCCGCCCCCCGCCCCGCGGCCCCTCCGCACCTGGGCACCCACCTGGGTTCTACCTGCGTCCGACCCCAGCTCCTCAGGCTGTGCCTCTCCCTGGGTATGACTGGCCCCTGCCCCGCCCCCGCTCAGTGCCCCAGCAGGTGGAGCAGCGGGTGATGTCACCCTGCCTCCAGTTCCGCATTTTTCTCCTGGACTGTTTGTGCCACAGACCTAGCCTGGTGGGATCCCAAGCCAGCCCTGCACCTCACCCCGGGTCTGTTTACGCTGGGGCGGTGGAGAGGCAGGGTGCCCAGATGGTGCCGGGGTGCAACCCCCGCCAGCCAGGGTCAGGCCCAGAAGCCAGAGTAGGGCCTCCCCAGGACATGGCCATCTGGGGTCATGCTGTCCAGTCCTCGGCCACTGCTCCCAGGCACCCATACTTGGCACCGACAGGGTGCCAGGCAGGGGGACCAGCACAGGGCAGAGCAGTGAACAGTTAACCCAGCCCCAGCCCTCTGGGGCAGGAAGGGGACAGAAGTTGTTTACATAAATTCAACACGAGGAGGGAACAGGGGACAGGGTGCTGGGCAGTTAACTCAGAAAGGGCACAGGGCTACTCTCAGGCTACCCGACTGCGTGTGCAAAGGTCCTGGGCGGGAAGGGGACTGAAAGGGGAGCCCGGCCTGGGCACTGGGAGGGAGAAGCAGGGGATCTCACCGAATGAATCTTAGAAAGACTTGCCCTCTCTCCCATCCCCCAATGCCTTGGATGCAGGTACAGGACCAAGGGTGTGGCCCCATCAGGATGGCCAGGGCCTCTGGTGACGGAGTCCTTGGGGACGCTGCTGGGGCAGCAGGGGACAAAGAGTGTGGCACAGTGGGGATAAGGCCAGCCTGGGAAGTTCAGGGGGTCACCAGGGTGGTTAAGAGGGGAGCTGGGCCCAGCCGGTGTGGCTCAGTGGTTGACTGTCTACCTGTGAACCAGGAGATCACGGTTCAATTCCTGGTCAGGGCACATGCCCATATATATATATATATAATTTTTAAAAAGGGGAGGGGGGAAGGGGAGCTGGGCAGTGCAGGCTGAGCCTCCCCCAACCTGCTCCAAGAAGTCCTGTCTGCTTCATTGGGACCGTGGGGTCTTGGGCGATGGCACTGCCCCAGTGCAGAGACCTCTGCCCCCATTTCCACACCAGGGTTGAACTGTTTTGGGTACATATCCCTCCCTCCGGGCCTCTGGGACGTCAGCTCTGGAGCCAGGAACAGGGCGGCCCTTCCTGGAATCCTGGCTGGGCGGGAGGAACCCTGGTGTCTGGTGTGCGGTGGCCATGCCAGCGGGTGTCCACCCCCCCTCCCACGGTGTCCTCTGGCCCACACAGGGCCCTTCTCCTCAGGGGTCTGCGGGTAGCCTTGTGAGCTCCGCCCTGGACCCTGGGCCCACTTCTCTGCTGGGCCTCCTACCCCAGCCTGGGACAGGGACCCCACCCCACATGCAACTTGCCCTCACAGCACCTGCTGCTAGGACCTCTGCAGTGGTCCCTTCTCTCGGCCCCGTGTCCCACCCACCAGGAACTTGGCTTCTACATCCTCCCGTAAGGCCCTAAGCCAGTGGTTCCCAACGTGGGGGGCAATTCGAGAATGAGGTATTGTTTTTTGATTTCTTATGGTTCTAGGGGCCTCATGTACAGTATATATATTTTGTGGCACATTTATGCATTTCAGTTCTCTGTTTTGAAACTTTGCTATTTTTTTGTATCACTACATGTTATTTTTTAACAATTTCTTAGTGATTTCTTCCCCAGGACTTCCACTGTCCTTTCATTCTTTTTTCTTTCATGGATGCCATGTTCTTTGGAAGCTTGTTTAGACCAAGTTCACGGCCTTTAGACTCCCTCCACGTGAATGGTTCACGGAGGGCATCAGGATTTTAGATGCTTAGGTGGAGTGTGCCCAGAAGCTGGGGCCCACTGCCCGAGGCCTGCTCCTGGCCTTCCTTCCCTCCCCGCCTTGCTCACTCCTGCCCTGGAGCCTCCCCAGGTCTTGGCTCCCTGCCTGAGGCCTTGTTCTGCTCATTCCTTTCCCCATAGAACTAGCCCAAGGGGAAGGCTCTTCACACAGGAGGTGCGCACCCCAATAGCTGCTGACCCAGGGCCTCGGGAGGGGGAAGCAGTGTCTCCTGAGGGGCCAGAGGTAGGCCCACCCAAGACTGTGAGCACATGGCCCAGGTGAGCTATGTACCACAAGCACTTCACGTTCGCCCAGCAGAGCCCCTGGTGGACTGATCCCCCAATCTGCAGTCACCCAGGGATCACACAGGCTGCTCGCATAATACACATGCGTCTGGGGGAACTGGTGGCCTCTGTCCACCTCAGAGCACTGGACCACCCACTGTTGCTTTTAGGAAGTTCATATTTATGGATCTGAGCGCGAAGGGGGCAGGAGAGAGAAACGTGGATGCACTGTTCCGCATGTTTATGTGTTCACTGGCGATTCTTGTGTGTGCCCCGCCAGGAGACCAAACCTGTGACCTTGGTGTGGCCGGATGATGCTCTAACCAACTGAGCTGCCCGGCCAGGGCGCCCACTGTGGCTTTTCAAGTTTCCTGGGTGTCCCCTGCAGGCGTCACTCTGAGTCCTCAGGAGCCAGGACCATGCAAGGAGGCTGGTGTCCCCTCCAACATCCAGGACCCACAGGAAGTGTCCCCGCCCCCACACCAGCTAGTGGGCCACAGCTCCTCCTCCCCGGGGGTCCCACAGCTGCCTTGCACCAGGCGCGAGTGCAGAGGCCAGGCTCACAAACGGTCACAGGCTGTTCAAGGTGTATGTAAAAAGGACTTTATTTGCAGGGGAACGAGACTAATCAAACAAGCCAAATCCCATGTCGTCATCCGACTCCTCGGATTCCTCCTTCTTCTCATCTTTCTTCTCCTCAGCTGTGGGGAAAAGACCACAGTGAGCGAGGCAGGCAGTGCAGGCCAGGCTCCCAGTTACTCCAGGGCACCCACAGCGCCAGCTGCCTGAGCCGCCACTTACCTGCAGCTGGGGCAGAACCAGCAGCAGGAGCTGCAGACCCGGGGGCGGCGGAGACGGCCACAGCCCCTCCAGCGGGAACGCTGGCCAGCTTGCCAATACCTAGGAACCAGAGAAGGGAGTGAGAGCAGAACAGCCGCTCAGCCTAAAGGCTACTTCAGAGGGAAGACAGCCACCAAGCGCCGGTGTAACAGGCTGCCCTGCTCTCCCAGAAAGATGCTCCGCCACGCCCCGGCCCCAAAACTTCCCATCTGGAAACTGGGCTTCCAGGAATTGGCCCACAAGAAGCTGGGCCATAGCTCCCTACCCTGGGGTCAAGTTGGACAAACATGTTTATGGCCAGGCAGGGACCTAGTCTGCTGCCCCAGAGTCCAGATATTGGTTCCCAGCAGTGAGCTCAGATGAGGCTTTTGGCTGAGCTGGCTCTTGTCCTGGCCAGTCACATGTCCAGGGACAGGAATGGCTGCCCCAGCAGCTCAATTTCCACAAGTCCCATCACCTCCACCCTGACGCCACCAGAAAACAATCCACCCAGCAAAAGGGAGCAGGGGCCTGTGGTCACCCCTGACACCAACCCCCTTACAGAGAGCACGTGGAGAGACTTGTTTACCAGGCCCAGGGAGAGCACAGGCGCCCCCTAGCGTCCTCTGAGTGTCCAGAAGTGCCCCTGGCATGAGCCCAGGGAAGCCGTGCTCACTCCTCGGGGCAGGATTCTAGGTTGCTCTGGTCCACAAGCGAAACCTGAAGGCCACAGGCGACCAACAGGAATTAGGATGGACCCTGGAAACCAAAGCCCCCGCACAAGCTCACCCTGGGCGATGACATCTTCGATGTTCTTCCCGTTCAGCTCGCTGATCACCTGGAGTGGAAAACCATGAGCAGGAGTTACCAGGCATCCGACATGCACGCCCCCTTCTGGAGCCAAGGCGGGGCTGGCCGCGGGAGCAGGACAGGAGGAAATGCCAGGCCCCGCTGATTACCACGCACACGTGGGTTCTCCGAACCGAGACCCGCTGCAAGTGGGGGCTTATACATCTCTGTAAGTTACTGCTCACAGATGCAAAGTATCTTAATTTATACCCAATATATGTCAAACCAACACCTTAATTAATTTGGGCGAAAAAGAATGGCTCTCAAATACCTTCCCCTTTACATTTCTTAGAACATGGCAGTTACCGAAGAATTTTAAGTTACGCGAGACTTGCATTGTGCTTCTACTAAACCACGCTGGCTTTTTGTTCCCGTGGGGCCGTATCAGGCCACACTTTCCCCAAAAAGCCCTCGGATCGGGGAGGAGAGGGACCCCTCTGTGCAGAGGAACCGTCGGCCGGGGCCCGGCAGGCGGCTACCTTGTTGAGCCGGTCATCGTCCGCCTCGATGCCCACACTGTCCAGGATCTTCTTGATGTCCTTGGCGCTGGGGGAGGCATTGCCCCCGAGGGCGGCCAGCAGGTAGGAGGCAACGTAGCGCATCTCGGAGGCGGCGGAGGGGCCTCGCGTGTGCGACCTCGGCTGTGGCTGCGTCAGGCAGGGAAAGGCCACTTTTATTTTTTTTAATGCGTTGAGCTTCCATACGATTTAATAGGGGATGGAATGCATCTTTGTTAGAAAAGGGTAACATATATACAGTTAAATGTCCTAGGTCAGCGGGGCTCAAACTTAGATCCGCATTAGAATTACCTGAAGAATGAGCCTTTAAATCTTGTTAGAATCAGTCCTTAACAAAGCCTTTGCCCTGGCCACTTCTGAGAAAAATTACATCAGAATT